ATTCTGGTAAGAACGCAGCAAAGTAGGTTAGAGTTATTTATTCTGTCTTTAGAGCCATTTACTGAAAAAGTGATTAAATGTGTATAATATGAGCCAATTCTACTAAAATTAAATATGTTTTTAATTGCTCTAAAAATAACAGACTATTAAGTAGGCTTATCATAGTAGGAATTAGCTTTCAGTTTCTTGTGCAACCAGTTTGAAGATCACCACTTCTCACCTGGCATCTTAAATTACTTTTATATTAGGCATAAAGCCTTATTTTCTTATAAGATTAAGCAAATACATAGTCATTAGATTAGCTGCATCTCAGTGTTCTTCCAGTCCTCTCAGCAAAATCAATGAACGGGGGAGGGGAAGCATCTCACCTTTGGACTTGTATAAATTATTAGAATGCATCCATTGGCCTGTTGGTGATCCTTCCAAATGACATCCTCAGGCTTTAATTTCCGATCTTCCCTCTTTGCTATATGGAATAAGCAGGGGATGCACAATGGGTTTCTTTATATCATTTTGTGCCGAAATTATTCTCTGAATATGATCAAATAGTTTGCCAAAACAGACTTTAATCAAGATGTGCAGAGAAGACTCTTTAATCATTAAAGCAAATGAGTTGGAATTTTTAGTTCAAAATTTAAATTGAAGTGGTTGTATTATAGACCCAGGGAGTAGGTGAGTTTGGAGACTAGATCTTTTCTAGGATCCTCATATTTTCTTCCTTATAGTATTCACTGCTCTCATGCTGTCTGCTTTGGCATTCCACCAGAGCTTATCCTTTCCAAAATGTATCTCAAGTGCCAAAATGATTTTTTGTAACTAGTAAAACACTAAACAACACCCCCCCCCCTTCCAGTACCCTGATTGCAGAAAGCAGGAATGAGGGGATAACAGACAAAGCTACAAGGACACTTGCAAATCATCTCATCTGATTTTATTGATAGGGAAACTGGGTCATAGAGTGGCATAGTCACTTGCCCAGTGTTAATGGCAGAACTAAAATTCAAATACCCTGCTGGATGATTTAGCCTAGATGCATTTTAACCTCCTCTCCTGTAAAATGGAAATAAAGATATTTATTCAGGTTACTATGAGGATCAATCACTTTGAAAATTGCAATTTGGTACATGTGTCTTTAATTTTTTTCCCATTAGGCCATGCCTCTTTCCATATGCTAGGAGTTAATAACTAGTAAATGTTAACATGTGATTCTTCCAAGTGGGTCTTACATTTGGAAAGAAGAGGTCCTGAAGACACATCAAACCCTGGAGGGGAAAAATAGATAATAGAGAAACATCCCAAGTGTCCCTCAAATTATTGCAGATGCGACAAACTCGGACTTGTAGAGCCATGGTTGTTTTTTTTTTTTTTTGCTTTGGTTTTTGGATTTTTGCTACCAGGGATTAAACCCAGAGGCACTTAACCACTGAGCCACATCCTCAGACCTTTTAAAATATTTTATTTAGACACAGAGTCTCCCTAAGTTGCTTAGGACCTTGCTAAGTTTGCTGAGTCTGGCTTTGATTTTATAATCCTCCTGCCTCAACCTCCCAAGCCATTGGGATTATAGGCGTGTCCCATGGGCCTAGCTGAGCCATATGGTTTAATAGTAACAACAACAAAAATAACTCATTTTCAGATTCTAAGGAGCTAATAACTTTGTGAAGAATCCCCAAAACTGCCCACATAGTAGTTTAGGCATCTAGGGTGGGGTTTCATTAAATTAACTTAAAAAGTCCATGTTAATACCAAAGTTTTGCCAGATGAGGTGGCACATGCCTGTAGTCCCAGCAACTTGGGAAGCTGAAGCAGAGGGATCACAAATTCAAGGTCAGCTTCAGCAACTTGGTGAGGCCCTAAGCAACTTAGTGATGTTGTCTCAAAAGAAAGAAAGATTGGGGCTAGGATTGTGGCTCAGCGGTAGAGCGCTCCCCTAGCAAGGGCGGGCCAGGGTTCGATCCTCAGCACCACATTAAAAAAATATATTGTGTTGTGACCATCTACACCTAAAAAATAAATATAAAAAGAAAGAAAGATAGGCAGGCTAGGGATACAGTTCAGAGGTGAAGCACACCTTGGTTCAATCCCCAATACCAAAACAAACAAACAAAATCCCAAAGTCCTGTAATTGTGTGATTAAAACCGATTCATTTGTACAACATACAATCCTGTTCATGTGTTTTCTCTTCAGATCCAGAAACACTATGTTACAAATTGATTATCTGATCTTAAAAATGAAAAATCAAAAGGAAAAAGAACTCAACACATCTACCCATAAGCACATGTAAAACACTTTAGCAAGTTGGATATTTTTATTTATTTATTTTTGTACCAGGGATTGAACCCACGGGTGCTTAACCACTGAGCCACATCTCTAGCCTTTTAAAATATTTTATTTAGAGATAGGGTCTTGCTAAGTTGTGTAGGGCCTCCCTAAATTGCTGAGGCTGGCTTTGAACTCATGACCATCCTGTCTCAGCCTCCTGAGCCACTGGGTTTACAGGGATGTGACACCACACCTGACTATAAGTTGGGTTTTTAAGTTAAACTGTTCAGTGGTGAAGCACACCTGGGTTCAATCCCCAATACCAAAACAAACAAACAAAACCCCCAAAGTCCTGTAATTGTGTGATTAAAACATGAAAGAGTCATGACCTCTGGCCTTCAAATTGCCAACCTTGCTGGGCATGGTGGCACATGCTTATAATCCAGTGACTTGACTTGGGAGGCTGAGGCAGGAGGATCGCAAGTTTAAAGTCAGTCTCAGCAACTTAGGCCCTAAGAAACTTAATGAGACCCTGTATCAAAATAAAAACAAAAAAGTGTGGGTATAGAGCTCAGTGATAAAACACCTCTGGGTTAGATTCCCAGTACCAAACAAAAAACAAAAACCACACAAACAAACAAAATTGACAGCCTTAATGGAATGAGTTTAAATATTATTTAGTGATATTAAGCAAGAGAGAAAAATCTCAGTTTGTTTCCCCAACCCTTCATTTATTTGGATGAGTCTGAAGTCCAAAGTAATCATTCCAATTAGCTTCCTTGGGTTGGGAATGTAGCTTAGTGGTAGAGTGTGTGCCTGCATGTTCAAGGCCCTAGGATCCATCAGCATCCCCCTCACTTGCAAGGGAACCAATTAGCTGCCTCAATGTCTGTGTGGCAATGTGAATGGAAGCAGAATCATTACATCCTATTGAGGAGCACCTGATGGAAGGACCCAATCTTACACATTTTCATTTATTTATTTTTTCAGGGAAAATAACACACAAAATTTATTACATGCCTAAGGCATGGGAGTATTAGACTCTAAATCTTATATATTTTTATACCCCAACACTTGGCACATAATAGATGTGCATGATGTACTTGTTCAATGAATGAATAAGACACATCAGTATGTTTTAGGTCACATACAGTAGGGTAGGGAGAAGGTTATTTTGGACTTTGTATAAAAAAAAATCAAAGTGTTTGAGACAATGGCTCTTCTGAGTAAGAGGAAGTTCAGTTTACCTTAAGTATAGACTGCTCTGTGATTGGAGGTGGAATAGCTAGAAATGAGGCTGGGCAGGTGAGGTCAGGTCACCAAAGGTTTTCCATGCTGTGCCATAGATTTTAGATCTTATCCTGAAAGGAATGGGGGTAAGGGGAGAGAACAAAAAGGACTGGAAGCTGGGATGAGCTTTTAAGCTGGGAGGTGGTATCATGATTGCATTTGTGTTTTAGATCTGACTCCGGCTTTCCATGTGAAAAGGTTGAGGAGAGGAGTGTTGGGAAGCCAGCCAGGAGGATGGAAGTCTAGAGGCAAGGTGAGGGGTTGAGAAGCTCTTTGGCAGTTGTGGTGCAAAACAGGGTAGGTGCCTGAACAAAGGCAGTGGTAGGGAGCAGAGATGAAGGTGTATTTAGGACAGAATGAACAGCAAAGATGTCTTGACAGAAGAGGGTGAAATCAACACCCCCCATCTCAGATAATCAAGTAGAAAACAGAGCCCTGTGATAGCAGCCACTGTGAGAAATACCCCAGGGGTGTGTTGAGAGTAAATCTAATAAGTGTCAGCTTTGTAATATGGCAGTCAAGAAAGCAAATGCTACTTTAGGGAGCTCAAGCTGAAAAGTCCTCTAGATAGGAGATGTGACCACCCTGGGTCTACTCCTGCAGATGGGACTGTACCCTGGGGTGGAGATAGGGAGAAGGAAGAATCAGTTCCTGCCTCGTACTTTTAAAAGGTATAAAGGAATTGGCCTAAATTCAGAGAAGAGACTTGAACTCAGTCTTTGGAGCAGCGGAGCCTGGAGGGGAAGTGAGCCAGAATTGACTTCAAATTGTGGGACCACGGTGGAGGAAGAAGGGGCAAGGCTGCCTTTGCTTGGCCTCAAAAGGACAGAAGTTACCAGGGAGTCAGAGCCCTATGCTTGCAGTCCGCAGTGAATCCCAATTACTGGAGGTTGTCCAGTTTACAAGGGCAGGACTTCTCTACATGGGACAAACAACAAAAATCAAAAACAGTGCAGGGATAGTCAGTTGATGATCTTTGAGGTTCTTGCTCACCTTGCGATGTGTAAGGCCTGGCCTATTGGGTGGCCGTTTCTCAGCAGTCCCTCCTCACAGGTGAGGTGGGCAACAGCCGCTCTCTCATTAGCCTTTTTATACTATTTTCCTCGAAGGCATTAGTGTGTGCGTGGGTCGGTAGACCAGGTAAGTTGCAGTCTTTAACACTGTAACCTTATGAGGCTGGGAGGGTGGGAAGCCTGGGTGAAGCTAGCGAATCTCAGGAGCCACCGCGTACTGGGGTAAACTTTGGCTCCAGCTTTGCCGCACTAGAGGGGCGGGGTTATTTGAACGGTTCCTCCTGAGAAGGCGATTGGCCCCGGGGGAATCGAAGGGGCGGGACTAGTCCATCTTTGCCATTGGTCCTGTGGGCAAGTTGAGGGATGGAAGCGAGGGGGTGGAGCCTCAGAGGGGAGTCAATTGGTTTGGCGAGAGCCCACCGAGCAGAGCAAGCGGGCAGGCAGGCGAACCCGCAGCCCGCAGCCCGCAGCCCGCAGCCCAGAGCCGGGAGGCAGTCGCTGTGAGCTCGCCAGGGCCGCAGCGGGGCGAGAGGTGCACGGGGCGTTGGCACCCGGCTGCGCGCCTGCGTCGCGGACTTGGATGCAGCGAGGACTCTTATGCTCCTGGTGCGCTCGACGCGAGCCATTCAACAGCTGGCCTCGCGGACAACAGTCGCAGGGAGCGACTGGGAGCGTAGGCAGTGGCTACTGCTGCAGCTGGAAAGGGGCGGCGGCGGCGGTAGTGGCGGTGGTGGTGGCAGACCCGCTATCCCAGAGGAGCCCAGAGTGGAGACGCAACGGCTCCTGAGTCTCCCGGTAAATGCCCTACGCTCTGCTCGCAGAGAAGGCAGCCACGTCCCACTGCGTCTGTGTCGGCTGTCCGCCCTGGCCTACCGGAGCTGTGGGTGCAACGCAGACAGGGCCTTGCCAGACCCTGGATGGGGATTGGGGACGGGCTATGCAGGGGACCCGGGTTACCCTTCCAGCCCCAGCAGAGTCAGGTTTTCCAGAGATGCGTCTAGTCTCTTCCCCTGGTCCTTTCCCTTCACCCTGCTGCGCTTCCTCTGGCCCTGGCACCGCAGTAGGGGGCGCTCTGGCACCCACTCCACTGCTCATTCCAGCCGCTGCTACAGCCGAGGTCACGCGAGGCATTCCCTTAGAGTGTGTTGGCAGTGTCATCCCGCTAATGAGAACTGAAGGTGCCCTCTCCTGCTACATCATCATGCCAAGGGCTTGGGCTCTCAACTTTATCCCTGCTGCCACTGCACCCATCCAATTAATCTTTAGCAGGGTTCTGCTGTCCCTACCTGTCCCCTTGATGACTCGGTCCTTGGTTTCAGGGACTTCTCAAGACACTCTGTCTCCACTGGACTTTTCCAGTGCAGATGGAATAAGACTTGTTTCCAATTTGACCAAGAGAGCAGGGTCACCCACAAGGCATTTGGAATGCTGAGTGCTGAGCTTCGATTGGTGGGCAGAGGGTTGAGGGGGAAAAGCAAGCTAGGAAGGCCCATGCTGCAGGGAAAACTGCCATCCCTGCATGCAAGAGAATCATAGTCTTGGTCCTTGGAACCTTCACCTTCTTTACATTCTATTGCCTGCTTTTTGTAACTCTCTTTAAAGCTGATCATTACCAGAAAACTTTTGAATGCTGCTAACTCCAAGGGGCAACTTGTATTGGAACACTGGTTCCAACAAGGGGGCTGGTTATCCTTCTGGCCTTTTCATTTTCCTTATGATATCAAATGTCAAAGATCATGTCCAATTTGTCCATTTCTGCCTGCTTCTAATCTAACTTTGAAACCTCATGCTGTTCAAAGAGTAAACTCATGTAGCACAGTTGGTGAGGTCCAGTTTTCATGCTTGGAAAACCATTCTTGGGATAAAGTAGTTGGATTCTCAGATTCTGGGTTTGTTTTGTTATGTTTGCTTTCTAAAAGGTATGACATTTCAGTGGTCATATTTTTCTGTGCTGTATTTTTTTGGGGTTGGGAGTCCCCTGAAAACATGGAGTCACCTGAAGCATGGAGTAACTTCCATTAAATTCTTTTTCTTTTAATCCTTGTAAAAACAGAGAAAAGTGAGATGTGGAATAAGATGGTGGGCACTGGTGCCCAGGGGATCCCACCTACTGCACACCTCACAGGATGGATGAGGCTGGACTTGTTACTCCAGTGGAGGTAGAGAGGGGGACAAGACCTGCAGAGGCCATCTTGGCTTCTTTAGTAGTAGATCACAGGCTTTCCATTTAGACAGGCAGTGTAGCCTGTTTGTTCAGGTTCCCCATCATATAGACATATAAAGAGAGTGGCCTTTAACTAGCTCTGTGTGTTATCTCTAGCATCAGAAGGAAGGACAGGGTTGAAGGTTAGGGAAGGTGGAGTGAGGACCATATTGGATAAAACAAGATGGTGTGGGAGGGGGCTGGGAGAGGGGAGGATTATCTAAACATGGAAGCAGTCTCCACCTCTGAGATTAGATACACATTGCTCTTCCCAGCATGCACTCTTGCCTTTGCTGGAGATAGGGACTTTGGCTGACTTGTTTCAGAGGTAGTGTTTGTTGTGCAACTCTGATTCAGTATTCACTCGGGTCTATGGATTCTATGTTGTATCCTACATACTCCTAGTACTTTAAGAAGCTTTAAAGCTAAGTTTCAGGTGAGGCAGGTCAATACTTGGGTCACAGTCGAGTAAAAATGGACTGCATGGAATCTAGTGGGTCTGTGCTCAGAAAAGTCAGCAGAAGGGCTGGAGCACTTACAGAAGGAGAGGAAGGTCAATGAAAATTGAGTAGGTATATTAACAATAAGAGTTCACATTAATTAATCACTTGCTGGGGAGCAAGTGCTTTATTTGCATTATTTTATGTAATCCTTAAAAAATCCTATAGGGAAGAGAGAGGGAGAGAGAGAGAGAGAGGAAGAGAGAGAGAGAGAGAGAGAGAGAGAGAGAGAGAGAGAGAGAGAGAGAGAGAAGAGAGAGAAAAGAAAATCCCATAAGGTAGGTACTATTAGGGGCTAGCTATCCCTAATCCAAACATCTGAAATCCCCAATATTCCAAAATTCAAAACTTTTCCTATCTTGAAAACCTTGCCAAGTTGACATGATACCACAAGTGGAAAATTCCACATCTGTCCTCTGTGACAGGCTGCAGTCAAAACACAGTCACTAAAAATATTGTATAAAATGACTTTCAGACTATGTGTTTGACATGTATATAACATATGAATGAATTTTATGTTTAGACTTTAATCCTATCCCCAATGAGATCATTATTGGTTATGCACATATTCCCAAATCCAGAATCTGTAACACTTGGAGTCTTAAACATTTCAATTGAGGGATATTCAACATGCATCATCTTCTGAGGCCCAAAGCATTTAGGTAACAAACCCAAGGATATCTCCCAGCTTATCAATGGTGGAAGTGAGATTTGAACCTAGGTCTTCTTGACACCATACCTTTTTGCTTTTTACTGTCACAGGGAAGGTTTAATAAAAGGGGTGAAGTGTGAGCAAACTTTGGAATGGTGGATAGGATTTCAATAAGGACAGGAGATATTGGGCTGAACAGATCATCATCTTAGAAGGAATTCAAGGAAGACTGGCTCAAATAGAATGGGGGATGAACACAGGGACATGATAAAATATAGGGCTGGCAAAGCAGGGGAATCATGTTTTGGAGAGCCTTAGAAGTAACTAAGTGCAGTAAGAAATAGGGGAGGTGTCAGGTGTGGCACTATATGCCTGTGATCCCAGCAGCCTGGGAAACTGAGGCAGGAGGATCCTGAGTTCAAAGCCAGTCTCAGCAAAAGTGAGGTGCTAAATAACTCAGTGAGACCCTGTCTCTAAATAAAATACAAAATAGGGCTGGAATGTGGCTCAGTGGTCGAGTGCCCCTGAGTTTAATCCCCGGTACCAAAAAAAGAAAGAAAGAAATAGGGGAGGGAGTTAAGAATTTTTAAGCAAGGAAGAACATAACAAAAGTGGTACCAATCATCTGGTATGACCTACCTGGGTCCCTGGGTCTGTGCATCTCTCCTCTTATCTTGAAAACCTTACCAAGTTGTCAGTACATTTAACTATTCTTTTTTTTAATTTACTGACTCAGTGGGGAATACTCAATGCATGCAACTGAAAAGATTCCTGGGTTGAGTGTTCAGAAAGAGCAAACTAGAGGCCCTGGGTCAAATTCAGGCCTAGATGATGTGCTTCATCCTGCACACTATTTGAAAAAGCAATTGAAGTAGAGGTCAATATTGAAAAAGCTAAAGATCTCAATCAAAACTGGAATCTACAGCTTATCTTGAGATGTTAGAAGGCCTGAGCTATGTTTCACCTCCAGAAAGCAGAGCTGGGCAGAACTGACCCCTTTAGCTAGGGTAAGTGTTCTGCTTTCCCTGCTCAGCCCCCAACCCCCATTCTGGGAGCTACCTGGCTCTGTAGACTCTGAGCTACTGCTCAAGAGAAAAGAGCCCACACCAGGGAAGATTCTAATTCAAAATTAGCTTCTTACTTTACATTGTAATTACAGAATTATCAGAGGTACAGTAGAACTGTCTTTGAGAAATGAGAATAATCATAACACACAGGGATGCTGATCATCATTAGGGAAGGGCTAACTGCTAGGGACTGAGTATTTTCCATGGGTGGTAACTTTCCTCTGATGTGGGGCTGAAAATCTATGACCCTACAGAGACATTCTGGTGGGCCTTGCTATTCTCCTTCATCCTTTACTTGGATTCAAGTTTTCTTTCTGCTGAACACTTGATGAGTATAGGATCTGATTCAAAGACCCAGCTATTCCACTCCTCGGTTTATACTCAAAGGACTAAAATCAGCATACTACAGTAATGCTGCCACATCAATGTTTATAGGAGCTCAATTTACAATAGCTAAACTACTGAAATAACTTAGGTGCCCTTCAATAAATAAATGGATAAAGAAAATGTGATATATATGATGGAATATTACTCAACTTTAAACAAGAATTAAATTATGGCATTTGCTGGTAAATGATGAAGTTAAAGAATATCATGCTAAGTGAATTAAGCCAATCCCCCCCCAAAAAAAAAACAACAAAGGCTGGATGTTTTCTCTGATATGTGGATGCTAATTCACAATAAAGGTTGGGGTTGCTAGGGAAGAATAGAGTTACTTTAGATTAGATAGAGAGGAGTGAAGGGGGGAGGGGATATGGGGATAGAAAGGATAATAGAATGAAATAAATATTATTACCTTATGTACATATATGGCTGCATGATGGATGTGATCCTACAACATGTACAATCAGAAAAACGAGAAATTATACCCCATCTATGTATGATACATCAAAGTGCTTTAAATGCATTCTACTGTCAAGTAAAACCAATTAAAACAAATTAAATTAAAAAAAAATTTACACACACACACACACACA